AAGGGTCCTTGCGCGTCGGCTGGTGCATCCATGCGACCATAACTGTCCTAGGCGCCTAGGCGGAGATTCGTGGCTTGAGGCGCGTGCTTCCGTGGCGATGACTACCACGAAATACTCCGATGGTTTTCTTGGCCGCCGTCATCTTTATTCGTCTTTCTCTTACCCTTACTCATGACGGAGGAGGAGGAGGAAGAGGAGGAGGAGGAGGAGGAGGAGGGGGGGAGGAGGGGGACGAGGGCGACGAGAAGGATGAGGAGGAGGAAGAGGACGACGCGGTCGACGTCGCGCTGGGCTCGCCTTTGGCGCGAGGGTGCGCGGCGGGCTTCAGGCAGTCCTCGCCGATGGGGGCTCGGCGCGCTGGGGCCCCGAGGGGCGTCTGGCTCGTCGCCTCTCGTGGGCATGGCGCGCTTCGGGTGGGAACGCGGACGCTCCGAACCGTCCAGGGGCGAGGAGGGGAGGAGGATCTGGCTGAGATGCCGATACCGCTGCTCGTCCTGGAGAGTTCTCGCCGCCACGGCTGGCTTCGCTTCGAGATTCTGGTCAGGACGGGAAGTACGGGCATCTGTATCGAAGACTCCTACGGCGAATCACCGCCGCTCCTTGCCCGTTTGGAAGCGCCTGTGTGGCCGACAGCTGGGCCAGAGCTTGGCCAAGCTATCCGGCCAGTTTTTTTTCCCAAATCGGTTTGGAAAGACTTCGGGGAGCGCTTGGGGGAGCAGGAAGAGGAGGAGGACCAGGAGAGGGAGGATGATTATTACGAGGAGGATAAGGATGATGATAAGGATGATGGTGGAGGAGGAGGAGGAGGAGAGGAGGAGGCTGGAAGAGAAGGACGAGGCTGGAGAAGCCGGAAGAGGAGGAGGAGGAGGAGGAGGAGGAGGAGGAGGACGACGACGAGGAGGAGGACGACGAGGAGGAGGAGACTTCTTGGGAACGTCTTGGGGGGCCTCTTGGGAGACCTCTGCGGAGCTTCCCTTGGGGGCCTCTTGGGGGCCTCTTGGGGGCCTTTGGGGGCTTCTTGGGGGCCTCTTTGGCCGTCTTAGGGCTTTCCTGATCCGTCTGACGCCGTCGGAGGCCGTCTTGGGGGCCTCTCTGAACCGACTTGGGGCCCGTGTTGCAACGCTTCAGGGCCGTCTTGGAGACCATCTTGGCCGTCTTGGAGGCCTCTTGGGCCGTCTTGGGGCCGTCTTGGGGGCCTCTTGGGCTGTCATGGGGCCATCTTGGAGGCCTCGTGGTCGATCTTGGGGCGATCTTGGGGCCTCTTGGGTCGTTTTGAGCCGTCGGAATGCCGAACAAAAAAACAAATGCCAACATATACCAAAAACCTTAGGAACATCATTGATTTCGGTATCTTCGGGCCCTCCTGGAGGACCTCTTGGAGGCCTCTTGGGCCGTCTTGGAGGCCTCTTGGGGGCCTCTTGGGCCGTCTTGGGCCATCTTGAAGCCATCCCGGGCCGTTTTGGGTGCATCTGGGGCCGTCTTGGAGGCATCTTTGGGCCATCTTAGCCGTCTTGGAGGCCATCTTGGCCGTCTTGGAGGTCTGTTGGGGCCCTCTTGGGGCCGTCTTGGGGGCCTCTTGGGCCGTCATAGGGCCACCCTGGAGGCCTCGTGGGCGATCTTAGGGCGATCTTGGGGGCCTCTTGAGCCGTCTTGAGCCGTCGGAATGCCAAAAAGAAGCAAATGTCAAAAGATTTGAAAAACAATCGGGAAATCACTGATTTTGATCTCCTCGGGCTCTCCTGGAGGGCCTCTTGGAGGCCTCTTGGGCCGTCTTGGAGGCCTTTTGGGGGCCCCTTGGGCCGTCTTGGACCGTCTTGGAGGCTTCTTGGGCGAACTTGGAGGTATCTTGGACCCTCTTGGGCCGTCTGGGAAGGCATCTTGGACCATTTTCGGCGAACTTGAAGGCCATCTTGGCCCTCTTGGAAGCCATCTTAGGCAATCTTGGAGCCGTCGGGAGCAGGAAAAACCTTTGCGACCACCTCGTGTGGGCCCTTCCGGGTGGCCGGCGGGCTGGGCCAAAGCCAGGGGGAGTTTTTTCAGGGGGGGAAAAGGAACCCACCTGTGATGAATCAACAGGGGACGGCGGATCGAATGGCCTTCGGCCCATCCCGCCACCGTGCCTGGGTTCTGGGTTAAAGGTCTGTTGAGTGTTCGTTTGTGATCTCGTGGTAGGCTTCTCGGAGGCCTCTTGGAAGCATTTTTGAGGCCTCTTGGGGACCGTTTTGGGGCCTCTTGGGGCCTGTCTCGCGAGGGGACTCTTGGGGCTTCTTGGAGCCTTTCGGAGGCCTCTCGGGGTATCCTGGAGGCTTCTGGAGGCCGAGGGCTCGAAATTTCCGTTCGGGTCCCCCGTCTGGGCCCCCTCTTGGAGCCGTCTTGGGGGCTTCCTGGGCCGTCTTGGAGGCCTCTGGGGCCGTCTTGGGGCCCTCTTGGGCCGTCTTGGGCCCGTCTTGGGGGCCTCCTGGGCCGTCTTGGGGCGATCTTGGGGCCTCTTGAGCCGTCTTGGAGCGTCGGGAAGCCGAAAACGAGAAAACCTTAAGGATTTTGACACAAATTATAGAAAAGCAAACATGTTTGCCTCTTCGGGCCCTCTTGGGAGGCCTCTTGGAGGCCTCTTGGGGCGTCTTGGAGGCATCTTCGGCCGTCCGGGGGCCATCTTGAGAGCGATCTTTCGGCGTCTTTGAGCCCTCTGGTGGCACCGTCGCGTCTCCCCGCGTGCCTCTGAAGGCCCGGTCACCCGGTCACCCGGTCAACCGGTCAGCCGGTCAACCGGTCAGCCGGTCACCCGGTCACCCGCGGTCACCCGGACACCCGGTCACCCGGTCACCCAGTCCACCTGTCAGCTGGTCACCCGGTCACCCGGTCAGCCGGTCATACGGTCAGCCGGTCAACCGGTCCGCAGGTCAGCTTGTCAGTTGGTCATGTGGTCAGCGAGTCGACCGGTCAGCCGGTCACCCGGTCAGCCGGTCAACCGGTCAGCCGGTCAACCGGTCAGCCGGTCAGCCGGTCAGCCGGTCCACTGGTCAGCCGGTCAGCCGGTCAGCCGGTCAGCCGGTCAGCCGGTCAGCCGGTCAGCTGGTCAACCGGTCAACCGATCAACCGGTCAACCTGGTCAGCCGGTCAGCAGGTCAGCCAGTCAACCGGTCAGCCGGTCAGCCGGTCAGCCGGTCAACCGGTCAGCTGGTCAGCGCCTTCATCAGCTTCTTCACGCGGCCAGCCGGTCAGCCGGTCAGCTGGTCAGCCGGTCAACCGGTCAACCGGTCAGCCGGTCAGCCGCGACCGGTCGACCAGTCAGCCGGTCAACCGGTCCGCAGGTCAGTTTGTCAGTTGGTCATGTGGTCAGCGGTCGACCGGTCAGCCGGTCGCCCGGTCAGCCGGTCAACAGGTCAGCCGGTCAACCGCTCAGCCTGTCAGCCAATCAGCCGGTCAGCCGGTCGACCGGTCAGCCGGTCAACTGGTCAGCCGGTCAGCCAGTTAGCCGGTCAGCCGGTCAGCCGGTCAGCCGGTCAGCTGGTCAGCCGGTCCACCGGTCAGCCGGTCAGCCGGTCAGCCCGTCAGCCGGTCAGCCGGTCAGCCGGTCAGCCGGTCAACCGGTCAACCGGTCAACCGGTCAACCTGGTCAGCCCGTCAGCAGGTCAGCTGGTCAGCCGGTCAGCCGGTCCAGCCGCTAAAAAAAAATCCATAGTAGACCCGGAATCAACCGTTCAGTCTGGTCAGCGCCTCATCAGCTTCTTCAACGCGGGCCAGCCGTCAGCCGTTCAACACGCGCCGGTCACCGGTCGAACCGGTCAGCCGTCAGGACAGGCCGCGGCGGTCGACCGGTCAGCCGGTCAACCGGTCCGCAGGTCAGCTTGTCAGCGGGTCATGTGGTCAGCGGTCGACCGGTCAGCCGGTCGCCCGGTCAGCCGGTCAACCGGTCAGCCGGTCAACCGGTCAACCGGTCAGCCGGTCAGCCAATCAGCCGGTCAGCCGGTCGACCGGTCAGCCGGTCAACCGGTCAGCCGGTCAGCCATGGTCAGCCGGTCAGCCGGTCAGCCGGTCAGCCGGTCAGCCAGTTCACCGGTCAGCCGGTCAGCTGGTCAGCCGGTCAGCCGGTCAGCCGGTCAGCTGGTCAGCCGGTCAACCGGTCATTCGGTCAACCGGTCAACCTGGTCAGCCGGTCAGCAGGTCAGCTGGTCAACCGGTCAGCCGGTCAGCCGGTCAGCCGGTCAACCGGTCAGCTGGTCAGCGCCTTCATCAGCTTCTTCACGCGGCCAGCCGGTCAGTCGGTCAGCCGGTCAGCCGGTCAACCGGTCAACCGGTCAGCCGGTCAGCCGCGACCGGTCGACCGGTCAGCCGGTCAACCGGTCCGCAGGTCAGCTTGTCAGCTGGTCATGTGGTCAGCGGTCGACCGGTCAGCCTGTCGCCCGGTCAGCCGGTCAACCAGTCAGCCGGTCAACCGTTCAACCGGTCAGCCGGTCAGCCAATCAGCCGGTCAGCCGGTCGACCGGTCAGCCGGTCAACCGGTCAGCCGGTCAGCCAGTTAGCTGGTCAGCCGGTCAGCCGGTCAACCGGTCAACCGGTCAGCCGGTCAGCCGGTCAACCGGTCAGCCGGTCAATTTGCACAACTATTCCACCATCGCCCAATCTGCCCTCCACTTCCACTGCGAGGGGTCGGGGCGCAGACTGGAAAAAACAGATGCCCATACCCCCCAAGCCCGAAGTTCGGGTCTTCGGGTTGGGGTGGTCTAGTAGGTCGCCAGAAGGTAACCTCGTCCGCCAGGAAGCCAGTGGGTCCCGAGGGAAGCGGGTGCCGAGGCTTCTCGCCGCGTGCAGTCTTTGGGGGCCCTCCACGGGCCCTGGGGCCGTCAGGAAACGGCTCGGGAAGAAGAGTTGGCCCCAGGGAGGGCCCCGTGGTCCAGGGCCCGTTTCCTTCTGGACCCGTCCCCTTAAAATGGCATGGCTCGGGCGGGGGGGGCAAAGCTGAGCATCCCACACGCCTGCTGGCCCCGAGGGGTCGCCAGATAGCAGGCATCAGCGCCGAAATCACGGCGATGAGGCGCGAAAATGCCGCGAAGCTCATGCTGGAGGAGGGGAAGATCGAGGCACAGGCGGAGGCGTACGAGTCTTCAAAGCGCGCAACAGGGAAGATGAAGGCGTCGGAGAAGACGGCGCAGGGAAAGAAGGAGCTCGCAAAGGCGGAGGGCACTGCCTCTTCGGCTTTCCAGGCGCGGAGGGCGCAGGAGCAGGAGATGCTCCGCCTCGGCGTTGTGGAGAGGATTGCCGACAATCCGGACGTCAGGGTGGTCAGCTCCCTGGAGAACAACCTGGGCCTCGCGCCAGACAACTCGCTGGTGACGCAGATCGCCCAGCAGGGCATGGAGGCCATCCGAACCAGGCTTGCAGAGTGGACCTCTGGCTCGGCCTCCAGGCTGAACATGAGCTCTGTCGCCATGGGCGGTGTTCACCGCCCAGTGCCACAGCAGCAGGTGATGAAGTAGTCATCCTCAGAGAGGTGTACTTAGGGGAACAAAAAGTGACATAAATATAAAAACTCTGAGGTCCGCGCGGATTTTTCTCGGATCGGCGCTGGACCCCCCTCCCTGGCGCGCGGAGCGCGCCAGGGGGCCCCAGCGCCGATCCGAGAAATCCGCGCGGACCTCCGAGTTTTTATGTTTATGCCACTTTTTGTTCCCCTAGTGGTGGAGCTACGGGCGGGCATGTAGAGCTAGGTTCCCATCGGCCACCTCGCTGCAGTGGTCGTCCAGCCTTCCTTCTTCCAGCCCTTCTTGGGCGGTGCGCGCGGGGGCAGGGTGAGGGGGGCGGCCCTCTGACACGGCACCCAGGTCCTCCTGCCCTCTAGGAGGCCTCCGCAGAAGCCTCCAGCCGAGAAGGGGCCGATCCCCTCCAAGCCCTCGGCATCCCGAGAATGATGCTGCTCCCCTCGCGCTGCCCAAAGCCAACATATGCTCAACACGGCCCACCTGCCAGTTTTCCGAACGGCACCCAGCCGTGGCGACGAGAATTTCCACAGGCACTCAACTCAGACAGCCTCCCAAAACGCGCCACCGACCCCTTCCCCGCACAGTACCGTTCAAGCCCTGCCGGCCAGCCAGGGGGATGATGATGATGATGATGCTGATGATGATGACGATGACGATGCTGATGATGATGATGATGATGATGATGATGATGATGATGATGATGATGGTGATGATGATGACGATGACGATGACGATGACGATGACGATGACGATGACGATGATGATGATGATGAGGAGGAGGAGGAGGAGGAGGAGGAGGAGGAGGAGGAGGCTATTGGCCTCCTTCGCCTCGGCGGCCCGCGGCGGCGCGGGCGTCCTCTTCGGCGAGCACGGAGAGGGTGGGCGCGTTTGTCGAGTAGGGGATCGATTACATAATCGATATACCCGAAGCTCGATTTTCTTTTCGAATCCACGAGTGTTCGCGGATCTACAAAACGTTCTAAGTGTTCGGGATAAGAAACAATATCAGCATACCGGGATAACATACAAGAAACAATAGTATTTGTATATTCGATGGGAAGAACAAGTTTGGGGCAAATCCATTATGTAATCGATCCCCCATTCGATTCTGAGGAAACCCTGCAGGGAATTGAAGACTTCCGTTCCAGAGGTCGAACTTCTTTTCTGGAGGGAGCGGCCTCCAGCATGGATTTGAAAAACCTGCAGAATCGTGGTTGGAGCTCCAGTCTGGAGACTGTTGATCCTCTGGGGCAGGGAAGGGACTTCTCAGACGGTGTTCCAGGGAAGGCCTCACCTGCGGCGCATCTCCCCGCCTTTGGCGGCAAGCGGCGGAAGTAAAACGGTTGCAGGCTCGCCCGCGGAAGCCGGCGGAAGGCGGCGGAAATGTGAGGGTGACGTGAACATTGCTGGACACAGGGTTTCCAGAGTCGGCCTCTCAGAGGGGGTCGGTCCCGTCATCGAGCCTTCTGAGGCGGCCCCGTGGGGGGCAGCGCGGGGCACCTGAGAGGCAGGTCAGCCTCGCAGAGCGCCGCCCTCCTCGTCCCACCCCTGTCGTGCGCACCGGCAGTTCCGTTCACGGGCTCCTCCCTGCTGCACACATGCCTGCCACAGTGCGTACACCCTATTCGGTTCACATGCCTGCACGACATGCCGCAGCCCCAGCTCGATGTATATTACAGCTGTCTTCTGTCATGTTGTCGGTGATGCCCGAAGTGGGATGAACACCGAGCTTGGTCGAGACGCCTCATGGTCCTGCTTCCCGTTCATCCTCGCCCAATGCTTCTTTCCCGCAGCGCAGATGTTTAATCTCCCACGGCTAAGTCCGCGGTCGACAGGAAGCGCGTGACCTCAAGTGGGTTCCGCTCATACCGGTCAGCACCCTTGTCGCGCCACGTTGCCTTCCTCATCCCCATCGTCATCACACCATCCCCATCACCTATCTTCCTTCTCCTTCTCCTCCTCATCATCAGCAGCAGCGTCATCAGCATTATTATTATCATCATCATCATCATCATCATCATCATCATCATCATCATCATCATCTTCTTCATCATCATCACCATCGGCAGCAACAACACATCATCACCACCATCATCATCATCGTCAGCATCAGCATCAGCATCAGCATCGTCATCATCATCTCCACCACTATCATCACCATTATCAGTATCATCATCGTCATCATCATCATCACTACCATCACCATCAGCATCACCACCGTCATCATCACCAACACCACCACCATCACCACCATCAGCATCATCCTCATCATCAGCATCAGCGTCACCAGCATCATGGGCATCATCATCAGCCGGGCGTGGTCTTACAAGGCCGGGTGGTCGACGTTTTGGTTTGCTCTTTTCCTGTTCAGCTGGGCCTTCGATGGCTCCTCTGGGGGACAGGAGGAGTGAGGAGGAGGGGGAGGAGTAAGAGATCGCCTCTCTGTGCGTAGGTCTGACGGGCCCGCGCCGTCCCTATGCGTTCCAGGACTTTTGCAAGCTACTAGTAACGCGGTGCGTGTTTGCGCGCGCGTGTGTGTGTGTGTGTGTGTGTGTGTGTGTGTGTGTGTGTGTGTGTATGTGTGTGTATGTGTGTGTGTGTTTGTGTGTGTGCGTGTGCATCTGTGTCGCAAGCCGCAGTCGCGCCAGCCGTTTTTTTTTTTTTTTTTTTTTTTGCGTTCGGAGTTCGCTTTCGGAGGGTCGGCGGCAGCGAAAACCCATCGGGCCTGAAAATCGAGCCCGAATGCACTGGGGGAGTTTCAAGCTTTCACGTGCCTGGAATTCGGTTTCGGAGTGTTGGCAGCAGCGAACACCCATCGGGCCTGAAAATCGAGCCCGACTGATCTGGGAGAATTTGTAGTTTTTCTGCGTTCCGAAATCGCTTTCGGAGGGTCGGCGGCAGCGAAAACCAATCGGGCCTGAAAATCGAGCCCGAAGGATTTGGGGAGATCTCATCCTTCGGAGGGTGGGCGGCAGCGAAAACCCATCGGGCCTGAAAATCGAGCCCGAATGCATTGGGGGAGTTTCAAGCTTTCACGTGCCCAGAATTTGGTTTCGGAGGGTGGGCAGCAGCGAAAACCCATCGGGCCTGAAAATCGAGCCCGACTGATCTGGGAGAATTTGTAGTTTTCTTGCATTCCGAAATCGCTTTCGGAGGGTCGGCGGCAGCGAAAACCAATCGGGCCTGAAAATCGAGCCCGAAGGATTTGGGGGGATCTCATCCTTCGGAGGGTGGGCGGCAGCGAAAACCCATCGGGCCTGAAAATCGAGCCCGAATGCATTGGGGGAGTTTCAAGCTTTCACGTGCCCAGAATTCGCTTTCGGAGGGTCGGCGGCAGCGAAAACCCATCGGGCCTGAAAATCGAGCCCGAATGCACTGGGGGAGTTTCAAGCTTTCACGTGCCCGGAATTCGGTTTCGGAGCGTTGGCAGCAGCGAAAACCCATCGGGCCTGAAAATCGAGCCCGACTGATCTGGGAGAATTTGTGTGTGTTTTTTTTTGCATTCCGAAATCGTTTTCGGAGGGTTGGCGACAACGAAAACCAATCGGGCCTGAAAATCGAGCCCGAATGCACTGGGAGAGTTTCAAGCTTTCACGTGCCCAGAATTCCGTTTCGGAGGGTGGGCAGCAGCGAAAACCCATCGGGCCTGAAAATCGAGCCCGATTGATCTGGGAGAATGTGTGTTTTTTGGCTTCCGAAATCGCTTTCGGAGGGTCGGCGGCAGCGAAAACCCATCGGGCCTGAAAATCGAGCCCGAAGGATTTGGGGAGATCTCATCCTTCGGAGGGTGGGCAGCAGCGAAAACCCATCGGGCCTGAAAATCGAGCCCGAATGCATTGGGGGGTTCCAAGCTTTCACGTGCTCAGAATTCGGTTTGGGAGGGTGGGCAGCAGCGAAAACCCATCGGGCCTGAAAATCGAGCCCGACTGATCTGGGAGAATTTGTTGTTTTTTGCGTTCCGAAATTGCTTTCAGAGGGTCGGCGGCAGCGAAAACCAATCGGGCCTGAAAATCGAGCCCGAAGGATTTGGGGGGGTCTCATCCTTCGGAGGGTGGGCGGCAGCGAAAACCCATCGGGCCTGAAAATCGAGCCCAAATGCATTGGGGGAGTTTCAAGCTTTCACGTGCCCAGAATTCGCTTTCGGAGGGTGGGCGGCAGCGAAAACCCATCGGGCCTGAAAATCGAGCCCGAATGCACTGGGGGAGTTTCAAGCTTTCACGTGCCCGGAATTCGGTTTCGGAGCGTTGGCAGCAGCGAAAACCCATCGGGCCTGAAAATCGAGCCCGACTGATCTGGGAGAATTTGTGTGTGTGTTTTTTTTGCATTCCGAAATCGTTTTCGGAGGGTTGGCGACAGCGAAAACCAATCGGGCCTGAAAATCGAGCCCGAATGCACTGGGAGAGTTTCAAGCTTTCACGTGCCCAGAATTCCGTTTCGGAGGGTGGGCAGCAGCGAAAACCCATCGGGCCTGAAAATCGAGCCCGATTGATCTGGGAGAATGTGTGTTTTTTGGCTTCCGAAATCGCTTTCGGAGGGTCGGCGGCAGCGAAAACCCATCGGGCCTGAAAATCGAGCCCGAAGGATTTGGGGAGATCTCATCCTTCGGAGGGTGGGCAGCAGCGAAAACCCATCGGGCCTGAAAATCGAGCCCGAATGCATTGGGGGAGTTCCAAGCTTTCACGTGCTCAGAATTCGGTTTGGGAGGGTGGGCAGCAGCGAAAACCCATCGGGCCTGAAAATCGAGCCCGACTGATCTGGGAGAATTTGTTGTTTTTTTGCGTTCCGAAATTGCTTTCAGAGGGTCGGCGGCAGCGAAAACCAATCGGGCCTGAAAATCGAGCCCGAAGGATTTGGGGGGGTCTCATCCTTCGGAGGGTGGGCGGCAGCGAAAACCCATCGGGCCTGAAAATCGAGCCCAAATGCATTGGGGGAGTTTCAAGCTTTCACGTGCCCAGAATTCGCTTTCGGAGGGTCGGCGGCAGCGAAAACCCATCGGGCCTGAAAATCGAGCCCGAATGCACTGGGCCAGAGGAGCCATCGAAGGCCCAGCCGAAGAGGAAAAGAGCAAACCAAAACGTCGACCTCCCGGCCTTGTAAGACCACGCCCGGCAAGTTTTTCAGCCTGGGTCGTCCCCGAGGCCCGGCCGGGACCCCCCTAGGCCGGAAAATAGAAGACAACAAAAAAACTCCCGTCGCGATTGGTGCCTGACTCGAGGGGGTCTGAGTTCATCGCCCCCTTACGCTTAGGTCGGGCGTGCCCCCCTGCAGGCGGAGCTTGGGCGAACAATTCCAAAAATATGTAGTTAAACCAACAAAAACTCCCAAAAAGTAGTAATTGTGAAAAAATCGTCCCCAGAGCATTTCTAGACTGATTTTGGACACTCCTCCCGTAGGAAGGACGTGCCCGACTGACCCCTACGCAGAACGCCCGACGGGCCCGAGGGCAGCACCACGCCCGGGCACTCCACCGCCGCCCGACTTCTCCATGACCGTCGACCCCTGGAGGCCTCGACTCCTTCTCGGGCGGCCCCGAGGCCCAGCCAGGACCCCCCCCCCGAGGCCCGGCCAGGACCCCCCCCCCCCGAGGCCGAACGTAAGAATCAAAAAAAAAACAAAACTCCCGGCGCGATGGGTTCCTGCCTCGTTAGAGGAGAGAGAACTGTGCACGTACACCGATTCTGGCCAGGCCCGTCCTGCGCCCAGGATCGGTGCATATACGCCCGCTCCCTTGGGCCAGGAAGGTATATGCACCGATCCTGGGCCAAGGACGGGCCTCGCCAGGATCGGTGCACGTGCATAGTTCTCTTCCCCGCCTCGAGGGGCTCCGCGCCAACGCCGCCCCCTTACGCAGCGCCCGACGGGCCCGAGGGCAGCACCACCCCTCGGGCACTCTTGACTATTTTCTTGGCCTATTTTGGGACACTCCTCCCGTAGGAAGGACGTGCCCGACTTGCAGGGCAATTTTGAAGACATCGGATTTTTAATAGTATCGGATGTCTTAAGACATGATTAATTGATGGATGATTAATTGATGGATAAATTGATGCATGAACTCATCGTTGTTGTTACTACTAAATCCCTGCAATTTTAACACATGATCCGCACGCGGAGCATGTATTAAAAACAGGCACTGTGCCCTTACGCAGCGCCCGACGGGCCCGAGGGCAGCACCACACCCGGGCACTCCACCGCCGCGCCGCCCGCGGCGCTGGAAACCGCGCGGGCGCGCACGCGCACGCCGGCGCCCCGCGCGCCGTGGGCCAGGCGGCCGCGCCGGGGCACGAAGAGGCACTCGCTCGCCTCGGGGGCTCCCAGCGTCGTCGTCATCGTCGTCGTCGTCGTCGTCGTCGTCGTCGTCGTCGTCGTGTGGGTGTCGTCGTGGTCGTGGTGGTGGTGGTGGTCGTGGTGGTCGTGGTGGTGGTGGTGGTGGTGGTGGTGGTGGTGGTGGTGGTGGTGGTGGTGGTGGTGGTCGTCGTCGTCGTCGTCGTCGTCGTCGTCGTCGTCGTCGTCGTCGTGTGGGTGTCGTCGTCCTGGCGCTCGCGCGCCTCTGGCGCGCCCAGCGTCGCCCCCGAGAGCCTGAGGACGATCGTGTGGCCCACCTTGGGAGGGCGGGAGGCCCAGACGCCCTGGTCGCGCCGTGTCACGTGACCACGCCTCGGGGGGCCTCTGGCTGCCTTTTCGGCCTCTGGGGGCCCCTCGCCGGGCCTCGGGGCCACCAAGAGGCGACGTGCGGTGCAGCGCCGGGAGTCGAGACGGACACAGAAGACACTCGGAGGCCCGCGCGGCTTTCTCGGATCCGCGCTGGGCCCCCCCTCCCTGGCGCGCGGACGGCGCCCCCGCCAGGGGGCCCCAGCGCCGATCCGAGGAATCCGCGCGGACCTCCGAGCTTTTAGGTTGCTGTCATGCTTCCTTTCCCTACTGGAGAATGGGTCGAGACCTCTGGGGGGCCACGTCATGGCAGATCCTGCCGTCGGGGGCCTGGGGAGCCACCCTCGCACGGGGGTCTGGGGAGCCGCCCTCGCGACAACGGAGAATGGAGAAGGGAAGACTGCTGGAGGACGGGCCGAAACCTCGCCACGCCGTGGCTGATCCTGCCGTCGGGGGCCTGGGGGGCCGCCCTCGCAACGGGGGTCCGCGGAGCCGCCCTCGCAACGGTGAAGCAGCCGGACGAGCGAAGCGCGCCCGGGGAGCGCACCCCACAGGGCCGGGATCGGGCAGGGCAGGCGGGGCTGCGCACGGGAGACGCCCCGGGGGCGTGCAGCACCACACGCCAGGTCGGGGGGTCGGGGAGGTGATTATTCGAAGGGAGCGAAAAACTGGCATAAACAGGAAGACTCGGAGGTCCGCGCGGATTCCTCGGATCCGCGCTGGAGGCCCCTGGCGGCGCCTCTGGCGACGCCCCTGGCGCGCTCCGCGCGCCAGGGAGGGGGGTGAAGCGCCGATCCGAGAAATCCGCGCGGACCTCCGATAGCTTTCATGTATGCCATGTTCCGCTCCCCTATATTTCTCCCTCGACACCTCCCCGATCACGACTGCTGGGTCTGCCTGCACCCCGAAGCGCGGGTGGAGCACGACCGGGACAGGGGCCACCAGGTCGTCCTCTCGGCTACACGCAAGAGTGACCCTGGGCAAGGGTGGCCTCTGGTGCGCGGCTTCTGGGGGGGCCGCGGGGTGGGGGGGCCAAGCACCAGCGCGCAAGACGCCACTGGCCGCCTCGCGCTCGGCGACGAGGGGGGCCCTTTGGGCCCGCACCAAAGGTCACTCCGGCGAAAGGTCACTCTTACGTCTAGTCGAGGTCCTCGCCGGAAGCGATGGTGAGCTCGGTCCGGCCCGCGCGAACGTTCGGGGGCACCCGGCAGCGCGCCCGCGTCTCCGTGAGGTACACTACCGGCGCTGCGCCCCGTCCGCCGCCGAAAAGACACACAGCTGCGGCGCGGTGGCGGCGGCCGAGCCGGAACGCCGCGCCCGGCACCGCCGTGATCGTGAGCTCGGCGCCCTCGTCCGAGAAGGCCCACGCCGGCGAGGCTGTCGCCTGCGTCTCCAGCAGGCTGTCGGTGTAGTAGAGCGCCACCTGCGTGCTGGCCACGCCGCCGCCTCCCACGCGCAGCCGCACCGCCGCCGTGAAGTTGACGATCCCCGCGCCGCCCAGCTCGTGGGCAGTGGGGGTCCTGCTCGGAAGCGGCCACGGGGGTCTGCGCTGGATCTTCCCGAGGAAATCGGTCAAGGGGGGGGGGGAGCGGGCGAGTGGGGGCGAGCGCACCTCCGCTCACAACCTGTCCCCGGCCCCTTCTCCCCGCTCTGCTGGCCAGAACCCCCTGCCGAGCAAAATTGCACACGCCCGACCCATCCCCCGACGTCAAGATTTTTCCAGGACGTCGAGCCCCTGGAGGTCTCGACGTCCTGAGTCTTTTTTTGACGGTCCCGAGGCCCGGTAAGGGCCCCCCAGAGGCCGAAAACGACCAAAAACTGCCCGTCCTGATTTTGATTCTGTTTTTTAACCAAAAAAAAATCGGCGCGAGCATGTCGGGCCTGCTGGCCGGAGCCAATGCTGAGCCACCTCGGCCCCCCGGCCGGCTGCAGGGTCCTGCCGCACAGCGCAAGCCCTGACGAGAGCCACTCGGCCGGCACCACCCAGGCCTTGACCCACGGGGAGGCGAACACGCAGTCGTAGGCCTGGGCGGGCAGCGGCGGCAGCAGCCCGTGGCCCACCAGGTGCACTCGGGACGGCCTCCACGAAGGGGCGGTGCCGAGACCTCAGTGTGGTGAGGCTTCCCAGACCCCCTCGAGTCATGCAAAAATCATGACGAGAGGTTTTTCGCTATTTTCGGCCTCGGCGGGCCCTTACCGGCTCTCGGGACCGTCAAAAAACGACCCGGGATGAGAAACCGGTCTCCGGGAATGGGTCCGGACCTCTGGGGGTCGCGTCATGAAAAATCATGACGTCGGGGGTCTGGGTTCGGGTTGCGCACAGAGCCCCCCCAGGTAGCCCCAGCTGGCCTCAACAGGCAGGCCCCCCGAGCAGTCCCAGCTGGCCGCCCGAGTGGCCTGGGGCGCGCTCCGCACCTCAGCCCTGGGGCGCGGAGCGCCAGGGCCCTTGCCGCAGGAGGCGCCCGCCAGGGTGCCGGAGACCGCCCAGGGCTGCGCAGGGGGCCTGCTGAGGCCAGCTGGGTCTGCCTGTCGAGGCCAGCTGGGGACACCTGGCCCACGCGAACGTTCCTCTGCTATTCCTCTTGCCTCCTCCTTCTTTCCCCTCCTCCATCATCCTTTTCCCTCCTCCTCCTCCTCCTCCTCCTCCTCCTCCTCCTCCTCCTCCTCCTCCTCCTCCTCCTCCTCCTCCTCCTCCCCTCTCCTTCCCCTCTCCTTCCCCTCTCTATCTATCATCCCTCCTTCATCCTCCCTTACCACCTGATCCCGATCCGGGTCTGGCCGCCACGATGCGCCCCCGCGTGCCGAGCGCCCCTCCCGATCGATCGCCCGGCACGAGCCGATCGGCAAATCGGCAGGATCGGCGGCAGGATGGATCCATGGCTCGCTCGCGGGCCGGAGCCCCTCTGGGGCCAAGACTGCGCCACGCCAGGCGAGGGTGGGCGATGACCTCGGAGGAGCAGAACAACACATATCAACAGAAACTCTCGGAGCGCCGCGAGGCTGCCTCGGATCGGCGCCGGGCCCGAAGGCACCCGCGCGGAGCTCCGACAATTTCTGCTTCTGCAGTTGTTTCTTCTCCTCGAAGATTAAATAAAACACCCTTTAGCAAAACACGGGCACTCCATATGCGTACGACACCGCATTCCGAGTGGACCCCAGCGGGAGGCTCATCGACGTCAGAGAAGAACCACTGAGTATACCACTGGAAACGCGCGTCGATGAGCGAAAGCGACTGGAGACTGCTCCGGTACACTCGCACGCCGACGTCAGATTTTCTTCGTCGACCTTCCTGGGCGGTTATTTTCTCGCAGAGGCCGCCATCAGCCCTTGGAGGTCCGCGCGGACTTCCTGGATCGACGCCGGGCCCCGAGCACTCCGCGCAGAGGTCCTCCTCCTCCTCCTCCTCCTCCCCCTCCTCCTCCTCCTCCTCCTCCTCCGCCTCCTCCTCCTCCTCCTCCTCCTCCTCCTCCTCCTCCTCCTCCTCCTCCTCCTCCTCCCCCCTCCTCCTCCTCCCCCTCCCCTCCTCCTCCTCCTCCTCCTCCTCCTCCTCCTCCTCCTCCTCCTCCTCCTCCTCCTCCTCCTCCTCCTCCTAGCGCATGTGCACCCCGCCGGCAGGTCAGATTTCCGAGACGGCGGATCGACGCTGGATCCCTCGAGCACTCCGCGCGGAGGTCCAAGAGTGATGTCTGCGCAGCGCCTGTTGGGCAAGCGCATGTGGACCCCGCCGGCAGGTCAGATTCCCGAGACGGCGGATCGACGCCGGACCCCGAGCACTCCGCGCGGAGGTCCCAGAGTGATGTCTGCGCAGCGCCTTAGGGCAACCGCATGTGGACCCCAACCCTGCAGGTCAGATTTCCGAGGCGGCGGATCGGCGCTGGACCTCAAGCAATGCGCGCGGAGGTCCAAAAAAGTGATGTCTGCGCAGCGCCCTTGGGCAACCGCATGTGAACTTGGGAAGGGCCAAACGTACCCACAGGACGACGTACCCCCAGTGAGGTGTCGCAGCGGCCATGAATCCAGCCACGGTGGTCGCCAAAACGCAATCCTGGGCGCCACGAGGCGGGCCCTGAGGCCCCCACTCCAGGGTACGTCTGTTCTGGGGTACGTTTGGCCTCCCCTGATGAACCCCAGCCCTGCAGGTCAGATTCCCGAGACGGCGGCCGCGGAGGAGGAGGAGGAGGAGGAGGAGGAGGAGGAGGAGGAGGAGGAGGAAAAAGGAAGAGGAAGGAGGAGGAGGAGGAGGAGGAGGAGGAGGAGGAGGTCCTTTGGGCAACCGCATGTTGTGGACCCCAACCCTGCAGGTCGGATTCCCGAGACGGCGGCGCTGCGGGTGCAGGCGTGGAAGGCGGTCTGCAGCCGGGTGGGCCCCGGCGGGGGCGCCCGATGCCCCAGCATCGGTTGGGCCCGTAGGGGTAGGGTTCGCCAAGTGGTCGACGGTCCTTCTTATTTTCGTGATTGTTATTATTATTAGTATTATTATTACTATTATTATTATTCTTATTATTCTTATGATTATTATTATTATTCTTTTTTATTATTCATTTTATTATTATTATTATCATTATTATTAGTATTATCATTTTTCTCTTTCTTCTGCGTATTCTTCTTCAACGTATTCTTCTTCGTCGTCGTCTTCTTGGAAACCTGCGGCGAGGCGTGCAGAACATCCGGGAAGGGCCGCGGCTCGAAGTCGAGCCACTGCATGGCGCCCTCCAGTGTCGACGCATCGCCGTTCACGGCGAGCCTGGATCGGGGAGACGTAAGACTCGGGTACGGGGGACTCGGGTAGGCCTGACGGGCCCATCGTAAACATGACGAGACCCAATCCGAAATTTGACGCGAGCTCCAGCTGCAGACATCCCACGAAAACCGGACCGTCAAAATCCAGGACGCGCTCGTCAAAAAAACGTCGGCAAACCCGAGTTCTGGCATACTCGGTTCTTACGTTTCCCCGACTGGGGAAACCAACAGGTACGGATGCCGCTACCCCGCGGACCTCGCCTGGGGCGCGCTCTGACCAGAATGTCGGCCGTGGCGACGAGGGCCTCCCAGGCAGCCGCAAGAAGACGAAAACGGGGCAAGCGTCGCAGTATCGATATACCTCGTCCTCCCGCAGCGTCGACCCCCCCCCAAAGGTCTTGGCCCATCGTTCCCTGGGACCGGTGCTTCAACGCGCGAGTCGTTCTTGGACGGTCCCGAGGCCCAGAAGGGCGAAAGCGACGAACGAGTCGCAAAGCCAGTTCAAATTCCTCATTCTCCTCCTCCTCCTCCTCCTCCTCTGAGGAGGAGGAGGAGGAGGAGGAGGAGGAGGAGGAGGAGGAGGAGGAGGAGGAGGAGCCCGAAGCTCACCGTCCCCGCGGCGGCCACGCGCTCCCACCGCGGCAGCAGCACCGCGCAGTCCGTGGCGCCCTCGGGCAGCCACTCGGAGACGTAGGAGCGGCCCGCCACGCGCGCGGCGCAGACGTGGCCGCGCCCGGAGACCACCGCGGACCGCGCCCAGCTCGCCGACAGCAGCGTGTGCCCTTGCGGGGGCACGTGACGGCGGGTCCGCGTCGTGACCACCCGGGCGTTAGTTTCTGACACCACGTGGACCACTCCACCTGGAAGGATCGGCGGCTTTTCGATCGCCAGTGCGCTCCACAGTGGCCGGCTCTGGGCCACAGGCGGCGTTCAGCCTTGATCGCTGGCGGCGGGGTCGCCGCCAGGCGACGCGACGCGAACCTACCGTAGCCAAAAAAACCGAGGCTCCGAACAAATTGGAGCGACCAAACTCGGGCCACTTGCGGCTCCTGGGGCCGCCCAGCGGGCCCCGACCCGGGACCGTCAGGAGACGACTCGGGATGACACACCGGCCCTGTAGGGAACTTGTCCAGACCTGTGGAGGTCCATCTTTCTCGATGCGTCCACGCATCGAGAAACTTGGAGCGCCGCAGGTCCGGGCAGTGGGGGACTGCCTCGCGGGAGGGCCGTCGGCCTGGAATCGGCGATGCGTCGCCGATGCATCGCCGTCGGGCCCCCGACGGCGAACCCGCATGATCCTGGGCGACGTGGGCTGTCGGTCTCCTGTCGGCGATCAGTGGGCGATGGGAGGTCGATGCGTCCCCCCTGAGCCAGCCCCCATCCCAGCGGTTTCCGGCCACAGCTCGGGCTGCTGCGCCCGTTCGGGACGAGCCGGGCACCCCCGGGGACGCTTTCGGCGGGGCGCAGCTGCTGGACGTACAGCACGCGGCCCGAGGCTGCTGGACAACTGGGAGCCGGCGGTAAAGCGTCAACCAGGTTACCGCCGGGCCCTCGTGGAGCTCTTGACACGCAGATTAGTGCTCAGATAACAAGCAGAGAGCTTCCTTCGAGATCAGCTTCAGAACTCGCAACATGTTTTCTTTTTCGGTTTTATGCGACGTCGGTTCCCCCAAGTGTTTCGATAGTACTACTGCAGCTACGGACCTGAGAATTCGACAGGCAGACGCAGCATAACCTACTACAGGTGCGAAAAATACCGCTTCTTAAAACGAATGGTCAAGCCTCTCAGAATCTTCAAAACAAGACCCCAGGTCATCACATTGTCCGCCCGGGCCGGGTGGGCCAACTAGCTTCACCCCACGCCGGAATTCCTCTAGCTCATCGCCGAAGAGCTCTACGAGGTACAACCGAGAACCTACGAAAACGCCCGAAAACATTGAACCTGCCGCCCCTGCCCCGAACCCACTGGGATGTCCCAATCAGTGTTTGCACTTAGGGGTTCTTACTTCTCTTCTGAGGAACTGGGCCTGTGTCGGTCTGGCGGCTCTGTTGCCGCCGTCGCCGACTCGTCGCCGCCCTAGGTTCTCCTTTCTAACAAGCATTGAGATCTACCACCATCACCCTGGACTTATCACGCCCACCGGGGATGTGCAATTTACATGTAGTTATGCCCCATTTTCATGTTCCATACGAACTCACAACATCCAAAACCAAAAGCGGTATTCCCTTCGCCCTCGTCAAATAAACCTAAGCGCGCACTCGCATTTTCTCAGCAAGTCGCATTTTTCCTGCAAATCATTAATTTGCAATGAACTTTTGCCGGACATGTGAAAGAGCCCACACATGCGCGAGTCGTCGCGCGCGCATGCCGACATCCCTCAAAGACCTAAGGTTCATTACGACTTCAAGAGCGAAGATCCCGAATCAATGCAACATCCGATGGTTTTGCACGATGACGTGTTTTATATGTGTGCGCGTTTTTGCGAATTCTTATGAGAACCATCGGTTCTTCGACAGATTCATCGAATGCGACCGAGCGGGCATCTCGCGCGGGCATTTCGAAATCGTTCGAACGCCCTTTGCGCGCGTGCCTGGCAAGGGGCACGGTCCTCGTCACATAATACCACGCGGGCCACTCGCGCCCGTCGGTCGCGCGCGCATGTCAAACTTCCAAAACCTTCATCACCGACACGTGGATACCATCATCGCTATCGGAGTGACCAGCATCGGCGCCGTCATTGGCCTTGGTTTCGTCGTTGTCATCATCGCCACCAGCATGTCTACCATCATTGTCGGCCGTTGCCGGCATTGCCATGGTACCGCGCCCGCCCGAATCACCGACTCGCCCTGAAGTGCCCGCGCGTCAGCGAAGCTTGCGACACGCGCTGGGGAATCCCCAGCGGTCTGCGCCACCGCGGCTGCGTCGGTCGCGCCACACTAGTTGGCCGCTCTGCGCGCGAGCTTTCGCGCGCCAGCGCGGCCGCAGCGATGCGCTGGCCAGCGCCAAGCAGCCATCGAAATCGCCGCAGCCTGGGCTTTGCAAAACCAAGTTGCGGGTGGATGGATGGGGTGATTTTGCGAGCAGCAGACATGACAACTTCAAGCCTGGAAGGGTAAATTGCACCACGTACATTTCACCATACACATATGTGTGCATGTGTGTATGTGTAAATATAAGCTGCACAATATGTGATGCACCGAATACATTGGCCACGCACACACATATGTATATGTAAGGGTATATGTATATGGATGTGTATATGTATAGGTATATGTATTTGTATGTGTATATGTATGCGTACATGTAATGTATATGTATGTGTATATGTATGTGTACACGTATATGTATGTGCATGTGCGTACGTGTATGATTATGTTGGTGTCTATGTATAACTATATGTTGTATGCATGTATGTTTGTGTGAATGTACGTATGTATGTATATATGCATACACATACGCACATTTGGCTGTGTTTAGGAATGTGTATGTATATAGCACCACTTGCGCAACATGCTTGCGCAACATCGATCGCGCCACATAGGTTGCACCGCGCAGGTTTCACTATATGTGTTTCACTCTACAGGTTGCGCAGCATAGATAGCACCGCAGCGCTTGCAACACCTATATATTGCAACACGTTGCACCACAAAGACTGTATCATATATATATATATATATATAAATATATATATATATATATATATATATACACACACTCACAAGACTGCAGTGGCGCTTCGCGCCATGCACCTTGGCCCTTGAAGTTTGGTATGCAGGCGGAATAGCAGGAAGGTGAAGCCGACAACGTAGCGATAACTCTTTGTTGCCTTTTCCGCCATCGCAGCTATAATAATGTTTTTCGTTATCCTTCCTCCATGCTTTTTCGTCCGTATTTTCGCCATCCTCCTCAGCTCTTTTCTGCGGAGGCTCCTCCATGGAGAGCCTCTAGGGGCCTCACAAAAGTTGTTTCAGGCTTCCTTAAGGCCTTCTGCAAGCCTCCTGGGCGTATTCTGGGGGCCTCTGGGGGCTTCCTCGGGCCACCCTGCCTCCAACCGCGGTCTCCCTGAACGACGGTCATGATTTGGAATGCGTCGGAGGGTGTTTTTGGGCCATCTTGGGCCGCCATGGGGCTCTGTGAGGGCCATCTTGGACCCGTGTTGTGCCGTTTTGGGGCTCTCTTGGACAGCCTGGAAGCCCTTTCAGATGGTTGTGGGGCGATTTTGGAGCCTTCCAGGCGGCTTCGGACGCCCAGAAGACCGCCGTCTTGGAGCGTCGGGAAGCCAAAAAGAAGAGAACCCCAAAATTCACCAAAACCAGCAGAAAATCAATTATTTGTGCCTCTGAGGGCCTTCTTGGGAGTGCTCTTGGAGGCCTCTTTGGGGCCGTCCTGGAGGCCTCTTGGGCCATATTGAGGTCACGTCGGTCACTGTTGGATCGCTCTTGTGCTGTCTTGGGGGTCCCTGGGACGTCTCCGATGACCCCCCTGATCGCCCTAGGTGTACTGGGAAGGCTTAGCAAAACGCCCTGCGAAGCCCGGGAACCGCTTCGAGGCCCGTCCGGAGGGTCCCAAAACCCCAGATCCCGGAAGTCCGGTTTGGGGGGGGGGACGGGTTTTCCCCCGCCCGGGCATATAAAAAATAAGAAGAGGAACATACCAGTACACGGACAGCACCACATGGATATAGAGCCCCACATAACTTGCACCTCATAGGTCGCGCCACAAATATTGCGCCACATCGACTCCCCGGGAACCCATGCAAAACACATATGATTCTGACCCAATGTCCATCCGACCAGTGAATTCATACTATCCCAGCCAGTTCGGTATCAGTCCCCCTCGGTCCCCTTGCAAATATCATACGGTGATTTCACTCGGTTCCACATCGCCTTTTTTCGCGAATCCCTTGTAAAAAATACCATGCGGGGCACACGCGCGCGGCCGCTACGCGCGCATGTCAAAATCCTTATAAACACATTGTGTTTTCAATAATGTCAACATCCCGCTTCAAAACAACCGATGAAAACATACGATTTTCTCACCCACAAATTCTGAAACATCTGCCCGCGCGCTGTTGCCGAATTTTCCCGAAACCCATGGTTTTTCAACGTGCACGTCACATCGGGCTTCTCGGGCAATTTTTGCACGCACATCGATCTCATTCAACAGCGGTCGCGCGCCTGCCACAATCCCTTTTTAAAAATGCAGGGCACATGCGCGCGGCCGCCGCGCGCGCAGGTCGAAATCCTGCCAAACACAGCGTGGACCGAGCTTCATGAAATCACTCGAATCGTACCATACATCCTCATACAAATCTGCATAAGCGCGCATTCCATCCGCGCGCGCTTATGCAGATTCGTATGAGGATGCATGGTGCGTTCTATCCGCGCGCGCTTTCCGAATCCCGAACAACCAATGGTTATTCACCACTTCTGTCGCGCGAGCAGCTTATGCGTGCGCGTCGATAGCCTTCAAAATCGCCGAACAACGCCAAATAGCTCCATGCGGGCCATTCTCGCGCGTCTGCCGCGCGCATTTAGAGCTCCTTCCGAAACTTTCATCATCGACGCGAAAACGCCGTCATCGTCATCGACGTGATCAGCATCGGCGCCGTCACTGGCTGCCCCGTCGTCGCTGTCAACATCGCCACCAACATCGCTACTATCATCATCGCGTCTACCGTTGTCGACGTTGCCATGATACCGCTCCCGCCCAAGTCGCCGACTCGCACTGAAGTGCCCACTGGGATGTGCCGAGCGGTCAGCGCCACCGCGTTCGCGTCGG